ATCCATCTCATCAGCCTTGATATGGAACTACGGAACTAAATAGAAAATATTGTCATACCAAATATTTAAAAAGGAGGCAAGCAGAAGAATTAAGCTGTTCATGCCAGGGCCAGAAAGTATAACAGGTTGACAGGACAGAATTATTTTCTTTGGAAAATTTAGCATAAACCTGAAGACCTACAAAATGAGTCCTAAAAACTAGGACTAATTTGCTAGAAGAAGGATGACCACTGTTCATGAAATCAGCCTGAACAAAGCACGACTGAAAGTGATTTAGTGTATGGATACTCAAGTTTTACTTCTGTTCACCAGAGAAATATAGTAGTGTCCACTAGCTTTTACTGGAGTCCTCAGGGCCGTGTTACCAGCATCCATCAAGCCAGCAGGAGCATGACAACTCCAACTCCATGTGCTGCCCTTATTGTCAGGAATTTTTGCAGGGCTGTGCAGATGCCCCGAAACAGTAAGAAATTTGTGAATATGAGGGAAATAACACTTCCTATCAGTGGCAGAGAAAAGGGAAAGCGAGGCATGGTTTAGTCCAGGTCAAATCTGGATTGGAATCTGCCATTTATGTAGCATTACTAACAAATGTATAATCAAGAGTAATGCAAAATGGCAAATGAAAGGAACAGATCACTTAATACATTTCTCCAGTTCCCAGTCTTCATGCTACTTCTCATTCTCATCTGCTTACGAAGTACCAGGTCCTTCAGTGAATCAGAAACCTTCATTACTGAGAATGTTTACTTCCAACTCACTGAAGTTCAAATAATCAGTGAAAACATAAATACTAAAAACGTGAAAGAAAAAAAACCCTCCAAAAAACCCCAAGCCTACAAGGGGCTCATTTCGTGTCCTGTCATTTGCATACACTCCCACGCAGGGAGCCTGTAACGGCATGGTGGAATTTCACATGAATATACAATTACAGGTTGTATTCAGCAAAAAAATAGGTCACAAGCAAAAGCACCTTTGAGAAAGAACAAACACCAGGCACTCTACCCAGGTTCCCAGCTTGGGGAAGGCGGGGGGTAGAAAGATGTCCCATCTGCAAACACAGCAAAGAGCTGAGTAACGACAACGAAAGCAAGGTGGGGCAGCTCCCTTTGCAAAATAGCACAAAAGTCTCTCAAAATTAATGGAGGGAACTCAGTGTCTGCTCTCCTCCACTTCATGCAATAACACATGAGAATGAGAGGGAAATGTGGGAGTCAGGAATGAAGGAGAAGAACACAGGGAATCTTCACAGGCATCAGATGTAAAAAACTGAACACAATGAAATTGTGACTGAATAAAAATGGACTGCAATCAATAAACAGATGAATGAAATGTCATTCCATTTAAAAGATAACATAAAAAATGGCACCAGTGTCATCACTGTGTGCTGAACATAGCTCAGAGCTGGCTCACAAAGCCCCTCAGCAAGAGCGAGCTAGCCTTTTATTCCTGATAGTTGCTCTGGTGAAGGGTTAAGAGCCACCACATTCTGCCTCCAGCAGCAAAGCCAGCTTGAACTCTGTTCTTCCCCAGCCCCACACTCCTGCAAGGCCTCCTTGGTGATAAATGTTGTCGTTTATCACACCTTCAGATGTGACAAAACAACCATTTTTGAGGCTGCGCTGTAATCCGAACAGCTGCAATGATCCAGCTCCTTCACCATCTTTTTGCTTTTAGAGATGGAGTTTGAGCTAACAATGATCTCTCCCAGACCCAGAGCCCACAGTGGGCAGTGCAGATGCACAAATGGATCTGGATCTTGTCTGCAAGGCCAAGAGTGAGCAGTGGTAAGGGACCAGGCATACCCACCAACGTGCTGCATGAGCCTCTTGGATGTCTGTCCCTGGATTCCTAATACTGCCAGCAGATATCCAAGCTGTGGTTTTCAGCCCAGGAACACACATAGCACACAAAATTATACAGCCATTTTCTACTCTTCATATAGCATTTTCTGTTCTAAACTTCAGCTCATCCAGGCTATAGTGTTCCTGAGTTATTACGCCGGATGTATACAGGCACAACCTCGACAGATTGAAGCAAAGGTGACTTTTTTTATTCTCTATTATATAGTATCTAGCACAATGAGATCCTGATTCAGAAGTCAGGCTTTTATATGTTTCACCTACCAAAGAAATGGCCCTCCATGATACATAAGGCCTTTAAAAAAAAAGACACGCCTATTAATGTAATTGAAAATCAAATACATTGTGATAAAAACACCAGCTAGGCTTGAGCTTAGGCACTATGCCTGCTTGGTTTTCTTCTTCACATAACCTCTTATTTTATTTCTCCCTTTTTTAAAAAAGATGACTAAAATACATAATTAATAATTTCCACTGCTCTTTCAGGGACACATGTATAGCCAAATCAGAACCCCAGAGGCAGCAGTCCAAACTGCCTCTGCTGTGACAAGCCCTATCTCTAGTAGGAACCCTGGCTGACTCAAGATTTTTTAAAAGACCGCCCTTAGACTGTTTCAAGGAGTTATTGCTACTCCTATAGAGGCATTTTTCCAAATAATACAGCCAGGAAAAAAAAAAAGTAAGAGACAGAACTGCTTGGGCGTTGTTTTTATTTATGTATGGTACAATCAGGAAATATAGGTCAGCTACAAAAGATAGAGAGTTCTGCATATGACAACCAAAACACAGATGCACTGTTTGCCACCCAAAAACAAAAATATAAATTGTAAGCCATGTGTTGACAGTCCCACATTTGTAACATTTTCACTTCAAAGTTTCTTGTTACTTTGTACAAGAATTCATTAATTGCTTTTCTTTCTGGTAACTTTAAACATGGTGATATTTTAAAGAGGCATCTTTACCTGGAAGGCCATAAATCAGCAGTCACCCAGGCTCTGCAGAAACATGACCTATACATAACTTTTTTTGCATACGTACAGACATACAATTCATCTTCGAGAGCAGTGAAAACTATTTACTTATTAGAAGCTGTCACTGTCGCAGAGCTCTGCTCATGTCCTAGTAAGAGGCAGATTAAAGCGATGTAGGCTTTGTTGTAGCTTCATTGAAGTGCATGTGTTTATCCTCATGCCTGGTGTTTTTCATATTTTAATTCAGAAAGCAACAATATCCTACTGCACACAAATGAGGGAAAGTATGTAGAAGGGGTGATGGCCTATATAAACCTCTCTTTATAGCCACTATCCAATAAGCAGTGATAAACAGTGAACAATATCTAATAAAAGTCACAGACATCTGAGTAATACTGGTGGCATTTAGAGCTCTTCTCTCTTATTTATGTGACTCAGAGTCAGACACTCTGCATATTTTCAGTAATAAATAAACTCAAAGACCTCTCTGCAGTACAATCCAAAATGTTCTAGAAGACCATCATTTTCCATCCTTACTGCAAGTTAAAGGCAGCCAAAAGCCATCAGCCTTCCTTTTATGTGGAACAGAAAACATTTCTCTTCTCCAAAGCTGCAGGATCCTACCCATCAAAGATGGAGGCAAAGCCTGGAAAATTCCTCCAATTGTATCAGGACAAATTCCTCCAACAAGCCCAAGTATTCACTCCATCCTGGCTTCTTGGAAATATTCACTGTACAATCAGAGTTTAAATGCCAACAGACAAGTTCAGTTGTGTCTGGCTTATTGGAAAATGCTGTGTCACAATTCAGGGCAATTAGCAAAACAGTCTCACTATTTAATTTGGGTGAAGGCAAAACCAAAACACAGCAGGCAATAATTACTTCAACAGTGTTCCTTGTGTTGGCCTTTGATGTGTCTGTCAACTGAAACTTGAAAAGAAAGGAGAAGAAACACACAAGCAAAAAAGGGGAGATCCCAAAACAAACTGTGACACATTGAGAAGGTTGTCTGGGATGACAAACAGTTAAATGAAAAACTGAAACTGGACTGCTAAAAAAAAAAAAAAAAAGCAGTACTGTCTTATGAGCAACTGCTCTAGCTGTATTGCTAAATTTAGTCTTTCTAAATGCTTAACTGTGCCTAAGTTCCCTTTATTTCTTGGGTGGGGGTAAGAATTACAGCAAGAGAAAAGTTAGTTCATGTCTCAGCTGTGTTTAGCAGATCCTAAACAACTATAAAATGCAAAACAAAGCCAAAAGACCCTTCCACTTAAGAGTAAGCCAAACTAAACTGATAACAAGGTAAGCAAGAGGCATCTAACTCTACGCAGCTAAGCTCAGGTCTATTTAGCTCAAAATCCAGAGCTTAGGGAATCTGCATGCAGACTTCAGCAAGTTTTGAATAGTGCTCTTTTCCCATTGCTTAGAAATTGTACCTCTGCAGCACTAATGTGTACACTCTTCCAAACAAATAAATTTTTTTTTCACAATTTCAGTAATTTCAGCAATTCTATCAGTATGGCTAGGAATGAATGTACTATTTGGTCTCATTCAGATGAGCACGTCCCATTTATTTAGACTAGACATTCCATTTTTATTACAGCTACAGCCATTTCATTACTCTGTGCTGAAATCATTGCATCACTTCTTGAATCACCTATTGCCACACTATCTGGGGACCAAAAAAAATAAGCCAGCGTAATGTACAGAACTGGAAAAGGACGAGACAGCAGGCAGGAAGGAGTAGCAAATATTCCACAGTCACCGAAACTCACTTCTACCTGACCAGCCAAAGGGGGAAGTGACATGCACTTGAAGGTCTTCTCAGACTTCAAAGAGCCCTTCATGTTTTACATATTTCAATTTCCTGTACACCACTTGTCAGCAGAATACTAAACATGCACAAATACCAAAGCTGAAGGGCTCAGTGCTGAAGTCTCAAACTCAACAGACATGAAGGCCTTGGCACATTCAAACCTTTATTTGCCTTTCCAAACAGAAGAAATCAGTGCAAAAATCATTAAACCAGGTCTCCCAGTACCTACCCTCTCATTGGCATTGCATTATGAAAGATACTCTATATTTTTATATATTTTAATTTAAAATAAATTATCACGGCAAATGTTTTGATAGGCTATGCAAGAATTGTATTGAATGATTTACCTACCTTCTCTGTGATGTAGAAATTAGAAATATCAGCATGCTGCAGTGCAAACTGATCATGATTTGCAAGAGACCACCTTCGAAATATGAAAATAAATTAATCACAAAATGAAATCTTAAAAACTCAGGAAGTACCCTTTACGTAATCTTACTATGATCAAACAAGTGCCTGTCATTCCCATGT